TGTCTTCATAAGAAGGGTCACCAGAGAGCTCGCTTGCTCTCTGTCAACCACATGAGGACACGGCAAGAAGGAGGCCTTCTGCAAGCCAGGAAGAGAGCCCTTACCAGGAACCGAATGGGCTGGCACCTTCACCATGGACTTTCCAGCCTCCAGAGCTGTGAGAAAATAAATTTCTGTTGTTTAAGGCACCCAGTCTATGGTATTTTGTTATGGCAGCCAGAGCTGACTAATACACACAAGTCCTGGCCCACAGAATGCATGAGCCTATCAAAATGGTTGATGTTTTGAGGATAATTGTTAATGAAACTATAACCTAAACAAACATAATAGATTAGCACACAACACGGGGTGTAACTTTCATTCACTCAACAAATATTTCCTGAGTATGTATTAGGAGCCAGACACTATTCTGGGCATGAATCAGTGAGCAACATAGATAAAGACTTCTGTTCTCATAGAGCTTATATTCTACAGAGATAAAAATTGTCGTTTTTTAAAAAATTATTAAAATATGTTTTTCTGGTTACAAAAGTAACGCTTATTCAATAAATTTGAGAAATATAAAAAATTGGTTAAAATACAAAAAATCCACAGAAAATAATCATCGTGCAGAAATAATGCATTACTACTATTATTTTATTTTACAATCACACAACACAAACATACTCTCCAAACTGGAATCACACTGTATATTACGTTTTATATCTTGCTCTTTTTTTCACTTAGTTATTACAAACTTTCCCTCGTATCATTAAAATATGATTTTTAATGGTTGTATATTGTTCCAGCCTGTAGCAATACAAATTATTTAATCATCCTGCAACTATTTTACGTTTCAGTTGATTCCAATTTTTCACTGTGATGAGCAACGTCTTGAAGAACAGCTTTGTACGTGAATCTTTGGCTGCATCTCTGATTATTTCCTTAGAATATAATCAGAGAAGTGGGATTACTGGTTCAAAGGGTATGCAAATGTTTAGGTTCTTGATTAAATATTGTCAGATTGCTTTCCAAAATGTTAGCACCAATTTACATTCTCACCTGTATTTTATAAGATGCTTCCCTGGTGGTATTCTTGCCAATACTCAGTATTACAGTGTTTCTAATCTTTACCAATTTGTTACATTAAAGACTGGTATTTCATCTTGAGACTGGTTCAATGCTTAGGTTGCTCAGTAATTATTGGGATTTGCCTAAACCTGAGTATTTAAATCCTAGTTCTGGCATCTTCTAACAAAATATGTAACCTCTCTAAGCCTCAGTTTTCTTTCCTCTCAAATGGTGACATTTATTCTGACTTCTTAGGTTATTGGGTGGATTAAATGTGTTTAAGTTTATACAGTGTTTAACATTGAGCTTGTCATAGAACAAATAAATGGTAGCTATTATCACAGACATGACAATTCAAGGATTATCAACATATGATTACTTCCAGCCTTTTTCCTTCTGCTGTGCGTTAAAGAAGATCCTGATTTTGCTCCATCATATTTCTCTCCCTTCTCTACCATTCCTTTGGGCTTTCATGAATTAGAATTAGGAAGAAGGAGAGAGGAGAAGGACAAACAGAAACACTGGCCATGGACAGACTACCCCAAACTCATGGCTAACACCAAACGCTTATTCTCCTGCACATGGGTCTGCTGTTGGCTACAATTAGGCTGATGGTGACTGGGCTGGGCTCAGCTGGGTGGTTCTGCTTCAGGCTGTGGGCAGGCCAGACTTGGTTCCAGGCTCCAGATCTGCTCCATGTCTCATTGATCTGGGCCCCATATTGATGGAGCAGAAAATACCCAGGGCACATTCTCATGGCAAATTCACAGAGCATGAGAGGTCAGGCCAAAATCCACAAGCAGATTTAAGGCCTCTCTGTCTGCACCAGTCACATCTGCCAATATTCCACTGGCCAAAGCAATTCACATGGCTCAGCCCAACTTCAGTAAGCTGGGAAGTCTCTTCTTCCCACAGTGGGAAGGGAAAGGAAGTGAGTATTTGCTGAACACATTATCCTAATGAATGTTTCCAGTAATTTGCAGAAAGAGGGTACTAACCAGTGCAGTGTAAGGAAACTGAGAGAAAAGTGAGGCATGTTGGATATGTGTGAGATTTTACAAATAGATTCTTCTTAATTTCTGAAAGAATCAAATTAAGAACTCCTTACAAATTACATTGTGTCTATTTGGATTGGCCTTCATTAAATACTACTTCCTCTTGGGACTGGTCTTATGGTGTAATGGCTTTCATAGAGTTCCATAGAGTAAACAATATCTTTTCTATTGCTACAACCCTACATAGCTCTTCCTCTTTGGGTATTTTAGCATTTCAAGTATTTACTGATGGTTCTATTTCTTTTTCTTTCACTAGTAGAAAGAGTGTGGATAGCAGCTTCCTAATTGTGATCTACCAAGCAGAGGCACAATCTCCACAGGTAAAGTGTCTGATGTCCCATTTAAATTAGGACAGACATCAAGCTTGAGAAAACTCAGACAGGAGGCCCAGGGGTAGAAAATGAGAGCAACCTAATGGATCCCAGTCATGACTAACAAGCGCTAAATCCATGTACGGAAACTTGCGATGAAACCAAATTGATAGTGAGAATGGAGCAGGCAATGAGCGCTCTAATGACAGGAACCATGTCATTTTAGTGGCCTTTATCCTCTGTGTCTCCCTGGAGACCAGGAGACTAAAGTCTCTGATCTTTGGGTTTGCTTCGCTCTGCAGACGGCTGGTACATCACATACAAAATATTACCCCACACTCCCAGTAATGTGATGAGTTGTTAATAAATCCATTCCAAGTTTTGATCCTCATTCACTCTGAATGTAGATATACCAGCTGAATACGGATATATCAGCTTCACTTATCTCTCTAAATGTCATCTGTCTTTAACTTTATCCAAAACATTTTTATTTTTGCTTCAGAGAAAGCAGTGTTCTCAACTTCTTAAAAATCCAAGCCAAGAAGAATCATGGTATGAAGAATTACACTAAATATTTGGTCTTCAGCCTTCCTGGAGCTGTAGCATGAAGCATCAGTGGCCTCAATATGTATTGGGCTTTCATTGGAATAATGGGTAACACATGTGCTTTTAAAAATATATATTTTTGTGAGTGTTTGGGGTAGAGAATTGTCTGTAAATCTGTCCTCTTAAGTCATTACAAGACATTTTCCAGAGGGTTTTTTTTTTTTTTTAGTCTACAGCCAGATTGGCTGTCTTTCTGTATTTCCACAAAAAGGGAGGGTGAGTGTATAAGAAAATTTCCTAATATTGTTTCTGCCTCTCTCCCATCCTATCCCCAATTGGTTCTTTTGTTTTGTTTTCTGAAGTTCCAGCATAGGCAGTATTTTAACATGGCCTAAAGCTTAGACTCAAGATTTGGATAATATAGGTTGAATCTTCAGCCATGTCCTAACTCTGCAACCTTTAAGAAGGTACTTTACCTATCCATGTCTCGGTTTCTTCTTCTGAAAATGAGGAAAATCAAAGGACCTGCCCATGGAATGTAAGATACCTGGCATATTGGGAGCCCACGTGGCTGGGGCTGTGGCTGCCGTGGACAGGTTCCCTTGCTGTGGCTGGGTCTGGCGTCCATGGGGTCTCTCAGCTTTTTTGCCTTAGGATCGCTTCCACAGTGGGGCAGAGAGGAAGGGCAGAGATTTAACAGTCAGCCAGCAGAGGACAGGGGTCTGTGGATAAATGTCTCATCCCCCAATTCAGAGGAATAACTAGAGGTGTGATATACACACAGCCCACAGGGGCCATGTCCAGATAGAGTCTCTGTCACCCGCAGCGTTGACCAGCTCAACAAATGCACCTTTCACTGGCTTTTCTCCCACTGTTGACACATTATCTCCTCTGCTCCCTTCTGCTCCCTGGGTTCACCTCCCAATAAATTATCTGCACCCAAGTCCTCGTCTCAGGCCCTGTTCAGGGGAACCCAAACTGAGAAAACTCTCAGTGAATAGTCGCTGCCATTATTTTTATGGGAGAATTTTTCCATTCTTACGAAGACCAGTTTTAGAACCCCAATTCAAGATATTTTATTTAAATTTAATACTGATAAACATTGCCTCATCCAGTTACACATTTAGCAAATCCCATGCAATCAGACGGTCCCCCCACACTGGGAAGTCGTGGTTTCTGTACCTCGATGCCTTTCCCACTACTTCTTGCTCCTGGCTTTGTCGTGTTTGTAGACTTGGTCTTTGCACCTTTGCTCGACTGAAAGAGGCCAAGGTCTGAGTCTGATTTATGCACCCAGCTTAGGGCCCTGTATAGTGTAGGCACTTAATAAATATTTGATTAATGAATGAGTCGATGGATGGATGAAAAGGGCACTGAGGCCTCCAAAACTTGCGGCCCAAATCCTCCCACCCAGGTGTCCAATTGATCTGTCTATACTTCTGCCTGAATGAGGTTTGCACGTATAGATCAAGAAGCCCCTTTCCACACGTGAAAACCACACTATCGATCTGCTATCAATGTGACAGGTGCTGGATAAAGAATTGTCAAGTGAATGAATAAATGAACGAAAGGAGTTATTTGCTATTCTCTAGCAGTTGTAATCAGAAATGACACTCAAAAGGCAGGGCACCTACCTGTTGGGACTTGGCCCCTTGCTGCATCAGGCTGTTGCTCCAAACGGCCGCTGCATCACGGGGGGCTCCAGAGGTCCCAGGGAGGAGCCAGACAGCTGGGGTGATAGGGACACCCTCGGGGGGCTCGGCCCTATTTACCAACTAGTCCAGAAGTGCTTTATTATTCAACAGGGGACTGTCCGTATCTGTGTGTGTGCTGTCTGAATGTCAGCCCTGTTTGTCAAGGGTGGCATTAGGTGCTCCAAACTCTTACCCAATCGCTTTTCGACCTCAAACACCAGCATTGGCAGCATGACTGAGTGGGATGAAGGTTCTAGCCAGTGACCGTAGAACTTTTTTCCTTGTCAGTGCAAAGCCAACTGGCTCATCCCAGTATCAACCTCAGCTTTGGCTTCTTTGGCGCCGTGCTGTGAGAGTAGAGCCAACTGGCCTACGTGGACAGCTTCTAGCATTACCGCGGCCCGGTCTTCTCCACCTTGGAAAGTTTCGCTGTGACTGCTCTGGATTTTCGACACCATCAGGCTTCTGGTTCCAAGGCAGGGACGTGAACGTCGCAGGGTGGGTTGGCACGTCTCTTCCGACGGAGTAGGAGGGCACACGTCTTTCCTCCAAGTCTCTGCTAAATGCAGTCACTCCCCTGGCTTGGCCACGAGGATGCACGCTTCGCCAAGGTGACTTTACTGTGTGTGTCCTGGGGCATGTTCCCTTTTGTGTGTATAGCTCTGTTTCCTGGAATTGTTATTTCTGGTAGGATTGGGGTTGATTTCTGGCTACCTATTATTTTTCCAGCTGAAGTGTTTTATTCCTTCACTTTGACATTTCGTGAAGCTTAGTGAAAACACCCGTCCTGCTTTCGGAAGGCTGTTTGTAGAGGGCGTTGCTTCCCCCGCAACTTCTCCTCCTTCCAGGCCCTGGTGAGAGCCATGAGACCTCGGACAAGCTGCGTCTCTGACACTTATTGACTGTAGGACTTTGGGCTTAAAACTTGATTTCCCTGACTGAGCCTTTGTCACAAGTGTAAAGTGGCGATAAGGAGAGAACAAAAGAGATCGTGTGAATCAAAATACAAAGCAATCTAGGTTATTCATTCATTCCACTGTGTCAGCCATAGTTCCTGGCCTTAGGGAGCTACGGTTTGATGGGGGAAATAACATATTAATAGGCAATTAAAATACAGATTCCTAAGTCCAACAGACAGGGACAATACAAGGTGTTACAGGAGCACATAGAAATGGGGCTGAACTCAGTCTTGAGGGATCCTGGAGGGCTTCTTAGAAGAAGAGTAGGAATTATTAATAGTAATACTGGTTATAATTAGTGGGGTGCTCACTAGGTGCCAAACAGTATGCTAAGCATTACCTCATTCAGATCTCACAAGTGTGCCTATTCATAGGGGTCTTAACTCCCACATTATAGTTAAAGAAACTGGTTCAGAAAGGTTAAGTAACTTTCCCAAGGACACACAGCTTGGTGGCATGGCCAGACTTTTAGCTGGATTCCAGAACCCCTGCTTTTAACCATTAACCAAAACTGTTCATGCCATGTCTCTGCTTAAAACTATTTGTGACTTCGTATAGGAAAATAACTAAACTCCTTAACATCTCCAAAAGTCTCCTGCCCACCCCTCTGGTGTTACCCTTTGCCCCTTTCTCTGTCCCCATTCCCCCTGATCATGGGCCTCTGCAGCAGTTTGTAAAAGATATACTCAGCTAAGGAAAATGGACTTGGCCCATGGGCAATAAGAGAGCCATGGAAGTTTTAAGCTGATTGAGCAGGAGCAAGACAAGACTTGAGACAAGATCTGAGAAGGCCAGTTAGGAGGGAGTTGAAGCAACCCAGGCATGGGCGGGCGCATGAGGGTCTGATTTAAGGGAGGGACAGGAGGGAAGGAGAGGGGTGAATTGGATTTAAGAGATGTTAAGCACATAGAATCTACAAATGCTGGGGACTGGTGATGTGGGGAGTCAAAGAGAGTGAGGAGTCCAGGCTTAACACCCAGATTTCTGGCTTGGAGGACAAGGTAGAGGATCCTAGCTATTTTAAAAGAGCTGCTATCAACACCTCACAAAAGCAAACAGTATCTGTAATTCTGCTGTGTTTTCATCACATGTATGTCGAAAGGCCATGAAAACTGTAAACTGTAAAATAGTTTCCCTTCCTGTTCCCTTTTGCTCACTTCCTTCCATACTGAGTCTGGGAATTCACTGAAAGCTCTGAGCAAAAAGAGAAAAAAAAAAAACAAAAAAAAAAACCCACCCCCTTTCCCCGCTCCCAAGTTGAACTACAAACCCACACATCAGTCCCAGGTTAGGCAATCAGTGCCTGGAATTAACCTTTTCAACATTAAAATCAATCAAGCCCAAAGAACCTAGCTTGAAATGAAGAGGTGTTTTAAAGAAGTAGGCTGAGGTTTACTGAGAAAAACAACTTAAATTATTAAAGCGGAGTTTTCACAGTGCAGGGAAAATGTTCCAATAACGTCAGATTAAAAATGTAAATCTGTTTATCTTCCAGATGGTTTTCCGGAGTGCTCCTATTGAAGTCTGCTGCTTACCTGTTTGTCTATGAAAGGGAGTTTGTTACTTAGGTAATCAGACCCAGGCATTATGGAATCATTTTCTCACGTTTGTCACTGACGATCTCCTGTGACTTCTGGCTTGTTAGTTAATTACTGTATAAATTTCCCCACTGAAAATGGAGGTCTGATTCAGTGCTGTGTTCTTTTCTGAAGCCAAGTGCCAAATGTTCATGTTGTCTAGAAAGATTGGTTCTTTCTTCCCAATTCATTTATCGCCCTTCTTGCCCTGTGCTGCCTTTGGAATACTGAAATTATGATATTAAAATCACTTCCATGTCAATGGGCTTTGATGTCTAGAATATAAGGTTAAGAGGGCTTTCAGGCAGAATTAGTCAGATAGAGAACGGGGCGGGGTGGGGAACAAAAGTCTTTCTTAAGTCAGAGATCGTCAACAGGACTTATACTTGACTGTGATGCAAGAAACTCTAAGGGGTCATGTGTTCGTTCACAAAGTAAAATATTAGCTATATCAACGTGGTTCAAACGAAATATGTTGTGAGCACCATATGCAAGCCACAAATGAAATTTAAAATTTTCTAGTAGCCACATTAAAAAAAGCAAAAAGAACAAGTGATGGTAATCTCAATATTCATCTAGTTAATTCTATCTATCTCAATTTTGTATTTCAACCTATAAGATTTTCGATGTAAATCTTATTGAGATCTTTTACATTCTTTTATGGACTAAGTCCTTTTTTTTTTCTGTAGAGACAAGATCTTGCTTTGTCTCCCAGACTTGAGTGAAATGGCATGGTCATTAGCTCACTGCAGCCTCGAACTCCTGGCCTCAAGTGATCCTCCCACTTCAGCCTCCCAAGTAGCTGGAAGTACAAGCGTGCACCACTATATTGGCTCATTTTTCTTTCTTTTTTTCTTTTTAGAGATGGGGTCTCACTATGTTGCCCAGGCTGGTCTTCTACTTCTGGGCTCAAGTGATCCCCCTGGGGGTCTTTGCTTCCCAAGGTGCCTGGCCTGGACTAAGTCTTTAAAATCCAGTTTGCATTTTATACTTAGAGCAATTTAGGATAGCCACATTTCAAGTGCTCAATGTCAGATGTGACTCATAGCTACCACACTGGACACTGCAGATCTATGCAGTTCAATGACAGTTTTTCCCATCAAATTGATAGACCAGAATAGGTTAATACATTCAATAACTCCACCTTTTTTTTTTTTTTTACAATTGAGAAAGAAAAAGACATGTGGCTGTGGTAAAAAACCAGCCAAACTTTCTCTTGATAAACCACAGGTTAACTTCTTTTTCATGCCAATTTTTCTTAGTTCCAGGACTGGTCACATGTGATAAATCACCCTTTTGAGGAAGTAGACAACTTCATCCAAGGGGTAATTAAATGGAGGCATTAAAGTAAATAACTGCAAATTTTTTAAAAACGAAGGGTAAAAGTTTCATAATTTCAGATAGTACAAAATTTTCATTAATAAATGTCAACAGATCTCTCTTCTGCTGTGACTATATTAAACACAAATTATAAGAACTCTGTTGGTTCCCAGAAGTATTTTTCTGTAGATCAGTCTGACAATTAAAAATAATAATTATGTATACACACACACACACACACACACACACACACACACACACACACACATTTTGCAGCTCTGGGATGACTTTAATTTCTAACTGGGAGAACCCTCATGCTCAGCATGTTTTGGGTTTGGCTGGGGACTCCCAACAATTAGAAGCATCCTGAAAACTTTTCTGGGCATTCGATTATATTACATAATAAATCAAGTTCCGTTTGATGTGCTGAGCTTCTTTAGCTTTCTAGCTCAAAACCAGTGAACACATTATCTTTTGAGCCACAAATACATTTTGTGTTTTATAAAGTAGGGATCGTTTTGCTGTGTAGTAGGCAACATGGTTTGGTATGGGATTATGGGAATCTTCTGGAATCAAAGGGATCTGGTTTCAAATCTCAGTTATTCATGGGGTTATTTTGGGCCAGTCACTTAAATTCTTTGAGCCTCAGATTCTCCATCTGTGTAAAGGGGACAATAATATCTATCTCAGAGATTACTGTGAAGATTAAATGTGGTCATACATATACAATGCCTGAAGCAGACGCTTGGCTAATGATAATCCTCTCACACCATCTTTCTCAGGCTAACTGGTAAGTGAGATTCAGTAATGTTAAGTGTTCACAGACATGATGTTTGTGGTAAGGCTTTTCATTAGATATCTATTGCCACGTAACACATTACATCAGAACTTAGTGGCTGAAAACAACAAACTTATGTAACCTTATGGTTTTTCTGGGTCAGGATTCTGCGCACAGCTTGGCTGTTACCTTTGCCTGAAGGCCTGTCATGAGCTTGCAGGCAAGCTGCTGGCCTCGGCTGTGGTCTCATCTGAAGGCTTGACTGGGAAAGATCTGCTTCCAAGCTCACCTATGTGGTTGTTGGCAGGATTTAGTTCTTTGTGAGTTATTGGTTTGAGGGCCTTAATTTCTCACTGGCTGTTGGCTGGAGGCATTTTTATTTCTTTGCCACATAAGCTTTTCTAAAAGGCAGTTCACAACATGGCAGCTAGCAATCAAGAGGTGGGGGGAAAGATAGTGAGAGAGAAAGAGAGGGCCATTCCAAGGATAGGAGCCAGAGTCTTCTTGTAACCTAATATTGGAAGTGACATCCCACCATTTTGCCTTATTCTACTTGCTAGAATTGAGTTACTATGTCCAGCAATACTGAGGAGAGGGAATTACACATGGGTGTGGATATCTGGAGATGGGCAGCATTGTGGTTCATCTCAGAGGTCGCCCGTAGCAGGCTTCTTCTGCAAATTTAATGTTTATGTTTCCTGGAGTTACTCTCCCCTTACATGTATTTCTTAAGTCTGTAATATAAATAAGAGCTGAAGATATAGGAGTTCTGCATTAAGAACTCTGCTAACTGTTCACATAGCCCTTATAATATTATATGCCCTATGACACTACATGATGTGGACACTTGTTGATTTGATACTTGTCCACCACCCCAACTAGACCGCGAGCTCCCTGAGGACAAGGACTTGGCTTTGTTCACTGCGGCAATCTGGAGCCTACAACAGGGTTTGGCATAGAGTCTGTGCTCGATAAACGTTTGTCAAATAAATAAAGGAATGAGAAAGAGTCCTTTCACTTCATATGACAATCCTAGGAGCTGGGTACAAATATCATGCCCATTTCACAGGAAATTGCTTGAAGATAAATTGGCTTTCTCAGGCTCACACAGCTAGTAAGCGGTGGGACCTAGGAGCCCAGGTGCATGAGGCCACCTCAAAGCCCGTTCTCCTAGTGACCTGACTTTGTGCTTCCTGATTATATGTTGGGGTAGAAAGAGTGTGTGTATGTGTGTGTGTGTGTGTGTGTGTGTGTGGTGTGTTTTGGGAGGGACTTAATGACCTTCCACAAGCAGCCTCTCAGTAGTTCCCACCACCCACTACAGTTCGGAGTGGAGTAAGCCTTCCTTGGCTGAATCCTCCAGTGAATTTCTATTTTCTTCACACACCCAAGAGAAGAATGAAAATCAGAAGGAAAGGGAGAGCACAGAGCAAGGAATTTGGAGCCCTATGAAACCATGAACCACAGAAGCGACTGGGGAAGTTGAACTTCTACCATCTCTCTGCCTGGTTTTTATGGAGTAAATGAAGCTAATGTGGGCTTGTTTTCAATAGTTTTTTATAAGTAAGGATTTATTCTTGGTCCTTTCAGTGTTCATGTCCCTTTTAACCTTCCTGTTAGTTCTAACATGTTTCTACTCTTCTTCAAGTTTAAAATGGTTTTTTGGAAAGTTTGAAAGGCCTGGGTCTTAGAGGCTTTGGGAGAAAGGTAATGATAAGGACAATTAAAAAAAAACCTAGGATAATGAAACTAAAATTTATTGAGTGCTTACTATGTACTACACAAAATTCTAATTGTTTTACTCATTTTAAACAGCCTATGGAACCAGTATGTCAACCCTATGGATGACCTTAAAGGCAGATATACTAGTTATCTATTGCTGCATGGTGAATTACCCTGAAAGTTAGTGGCTTAAAATAACAATGAACATTTATTATCTCTGACAGTTTCTGTGGATCAGGAATTTTGGGGGTTTCGAGGTGGTTCCATTCCAGCTCATGTGAAGGCCAGTCAGACATCGGCCAGAGGTACAGTCATCAGAAGGCTTGACTGGGGCTAGAGAATCTGCATCTAATGTGGTTCACTCCAGTGGCTGACAAGAAGTTGCCAGGAAGCTCAGTTCCTTCCCATGTGGACATATGCACAGGGCTGCTTGAGTGTCCTCCCAACATGGCGGCCGGCTTCCCCCACAGCAAATGATCAAAGAAAGCAAGAAATAAACTACCATGTCCTCTGTGACTCAGCCTTGGAAATTATCCACTGACAGTTCCATAATACTCACTGGTCACACAGGGCAGCCCCATCGGCATGGGAGGGCACTACACAAGGGCACGGATACTAGAGGACAAGGATCTTTGAAAGCCATCTTGGAAGCTGGCAGCCACAGCAGTTGCCTTGTGGTATGAACCGCGACCACTGTGACAGCTAACTTTTCTTGAGAAATTAGTAGGCACTGTGCCGGAGACTTTACATACATAGTCTTTAATCCCGACAACAAGCCTATGAGCCAGGTGCTCTTGTTGTTCTCATTTTAAGGACAAGGAAACTGGGGCTCAGAGAGGCTAATAACTTGCCCCAGGTCACAGAGCTAGTAGTTGGCAAGTGAAATGAGCATCCGATCATGTCTCCGACAGTCCTGAGGTCAAGCCCAGCTTGTGCTATTTTCCCCTGTGGCGTTACTGGGACTGCTGTGGCGAGTAAATGAGAAGTGTCTGGGAACTCCAGAGCATGACACGGAAGTCCACAGGGAGATAAAATTCTTTCTTCTCTCCTTGCACAGCATAAAACCATGTCAGAAGCGCCTATCCAAGGTCAGAGTGTCCGGTTTTTGGTAAACAAGAGACATACAGCACTATGTTTCTTACTTTTATTAAACCAACTTCAATAAAGACTGACAGGCTCCGTAGGACAAAACAATTAGTATTGGCACCTGTCACACTTCCCAGAAACAGAGTGTCTTGTGCTTTTGATGGAATTGTAAAGAACTGGGAAGGAGGAAAGATGAGACTAATAGAGTGAAAAGAACGGTTTCAGCTCCTGCCCAGCTTATATGGCGAGGAGGCTGGGAGTGATTTAGTATACATATAAAAATAACAATTGAACTTAAAGAGGGCTTTACATTTGTCCAAACGATTTCAAAGACATTAATATATTTAAAAGGTGTGTGTGTGGGGGGAGGGGGCGGGGGTGTAAGAGTGAGAGAGAGAGAGAGAGAGAGAGAAATGTTGAGAGTAAGGCAGGCATATTAAATCATTCCCAGAGTTGAAGTTCATGTGCCCAAAGGAACCCAAGGACTAAGGAAACAAGAATTACAGCACTGAGTCAGGGCCACTGTCTTTCCATATTCCTAATGCTTGAGGTGAAGGAGCAGCTGTAGGAGAAATTATCTGCCTCCTTGGCTATCATTATCAAAGGCAGGGGGGGCCTCTTCCCAACATGCTTCCTGGAAAAGTGCACATACCCACATACACCGGAAATTTTGCATAAAATTTTAGAGGCTTTAAAACTCCCTGCAGCCCCTGGGACAGTCTCCTTAATGTTCATGGATCCCAGGATAGAACCCCTGGATGCCAGATCATTTAAAGAATTTATTTATATTTTCCATATGTATTACAAACTACTTGGTGGTATGGAACTTGCTAAACTTTCCTACATCACATCACATTTTCTCATTATCTTGAACCCTCACTGGTATTTTTAAATTTTGACCTGATCCACTTCAGCCTTCCTGTTTCCAGACTAGAGCAGGCAATTAAAAAATCAAGTCACTGTGTCTCAGCATCCTCGAGGGTGTCTCTAGCACACCCCAAATCTGCTGCAGCCATCCCCTTTATAACCGCCCTCTCGGGCAGTCCGCCCCAGCACCCACACGCTCCTGACTCCTCCGGACAGGTACAATTTATATACAGTAAAATACCATGCTTTTTAGTGGTGGATTTTAGGATGCCGTTCTCTTAAGTTTTGACAAATGTATAGACTTGTGTAACTGACACTATAATTAAGATTAGAAGAGTCCTCCTGCCCCCACTCTCCCAATTCCTTTGTGTCTTTTTGTATTCTCCCCCAGCCCCAGACCCTGGTAACCACTGTTCTGATTCTGGTCCCTATAGTTTTGTTCCCTGGTCCTCTGTATCTTATAAATGAAATCATACAGAATGCAAACTTTTAGAGCTGGATTCTTTCTCTTCAGCATGCTATTTATTTATTTTTATATTTTTTTATGGATTGTCACAAGAGTTTATTTTGCTGAGTTAAAAAAAAAAATCCAAGAATTTATATAATTTATTGGCTTTAAGGTTAATAGACTTAATAAGACCAAAGTTAAATGCTGAGCTGGTTTCGTGTTTTGAAAATAAAATTAGATTCTGTGTTCATTTGAAAAGAACCACGACCCAGGAGAATTGGCAGGACTGGTGGGTAGGTGGGAGTTTCTAGGCACGGGAGAGGAGCCAGGGGCTTGTCCTGGGGTGATGGGGAGGGGAGAGAGCCAGGCAGACCTGGGAAGAGCCAAAGAGTTCAGCACTGACAGCCTTCATCTAGTTAGTGTATGGTGCGTTTTAGAATCCACCCGTGTCGTTGCATTAAATGATGAACTGCAATACGTTTATCCACTCCCAAGTTGATGGGCTCTTGAGTTGTTTTCAGTTTTTGGCAATTCTTTGCTTTAGTCTTCTGCTTTATTTGGGGTGGGGGCGGGAGAGTTTGGGGCACAAAAGTGTCATCCCATTTTTTGACCATCTAAATTTGTAAAGATTTTCATAAGTGCTCCCTGGCAGTTCCAGCTGCATTGGTGCAGCTGTTCTTTCTCCCTTTATATTTACTTACCTTTTCTGCAAACTGGTCAAGGTGGACACGGTGCAGCCGAAATACCCCGTGGCCAACGCTGAGGTAAGGCATTAGCCTCTCTGCTCCACCTGTGGCTCGGAATCACCAGCCTTCCTCTCAGCTGCGAGCTCGTTAGAAAAGCAGAGGCTCACACCCCAGATCGACCGAATCAGCCAGCACCTTCACACGATCGCCAGGTGTGTCGGATGCATATTAAAGTTTGAGAAGCGCTGGTCGTCGTATTCTGCACTCGCTACTAAAAGTAAACTACACTTTTTTTGCCATACGATTTGGTCCTTTATTCTAACTTTTTCCTTCTCTCCCTGGGTAGACGCATTTTGTAGTTGAGCAAAGAACTCCGGTTCGGGTCTGGGGAGGTGGCGAGCGCGCACCCTCGGAGCAGCAGGAGCCAGGGAGGAAGCAGGGGGGAAGGCGGAGAGCAGGGCCGGGCAGTCGCGCGGTCCTCGCAGCCGGACCGGGCAGGCGAGCGGACGCCGAGGGGCCGGGCTCTCTCTCCGCGCCCCCTCGGCGGGCCCGGGGCCGGGACGCGCGGGCAGGACGCGGCGGCGGCGCGCGGCCCGGCGCTGGCTGCACCCCGCGGGCCGGGCGGCGGGGCGGGCGGGAGGAGGGCCGCCGGGGGCGGGCGGCGCGCCGAGGGGCGGGTCAGCGGCGAGCCGCGGGGCAGCGACGGCGCCGGCAGCTGGAGCGGCGCCGCGCCATGTGGCTGCTGGTGCCGCTGTGCCTGCTGCTGAGCGGCGCCGCGGGTGAGTCGGGCGCCCGGCGAGCTGCCCGCGGGCGCGGGGCGCGGGGCGCGGCGGCCGGGCTGCGATCGCGTCCCCTCCCGGCGCGCGGCCGCGGCTCCGGGCGTGGGTGTGTGTGCGCGGAGGGCGGACCCGGGCGCCGGGCTGGCCGGGACCCGCCGAGGGGCCGCCGCGGGGTGCGCGCCGTCCTATTGTGTGGGCGTGCGCGCCCGGCCGTGCGGGGCTGAGTGCGCGGGCGGGGCTTTGTGTGCAGCCCGGCTCCGGGAGCCCCGCAGCCGCCCCATTGGGCGTAGCTCGAGTGTGTCTGTGTGTGTGGTGTGTGTCGGGGAACCGAGCGGGGGAGGAGGGAGGAGAGAACTCTTCCCCGATCTCGTCGTCCAAGACGCCCTGGCTCTCGGCGCTGCGTTAGTCTCCCCAGGGCCTCTTGCCGAGTCTCTAGCGTGCACCCTCGTGCCTCAGTTTCCCCACCTGCACCGCGGGACGGGTGGCATCGCCGCTTCCTTCCATTCCTCTCTGGGACTGTGTTTGGTTTGGGCAAAGTGAGATGAAGCAGGGTGGGACCTGGGGATTTTTCTTTTTTCCCCCGCTGATCCTGGGAGCTGAAGCTTTATTTAAGTCGTCTGACCACCCCACGCGCCCTGCAGTGGGCACCTGACGGGCTAGGGGCTCGGGAGAGGACCGGGGCTTCATCTGGAGGCCCGTTGAACCTGGCATCACCGCGGCGCGCGCATCCTGGGCCGGGACAGCCGCAAGCCGCCTTCCCTCCCAGGCAGCGTGCCGTTCCCAGGAACTTTTCTGCTGATGTGGGCACGTTCGGAATTCCAGCCTGGGAGCCCTTCCTCTCTGCCCCGGCCCGCCAGGCCACAGCTGTCGGCCGCCCCTGGCCACCCCTCCTCTGCTGGGCCCGCCCTTGGCCCCCTAATGTTTATTTCTGGGCCGCCTATGCCCAGAAAGTGGGTGACAGGGCCCAGTGAACTTTCTTAAGCAGAATCTTGCTTGCCTGGCGTTTGTGCCATCCGCCTGTCTAACTTATGCCTGTGATTTTGCCAGACGCTTCTAGCAGCTTGCAGGTCAAGGTGTCTTGGGTTGCTTGCCTGTTGGCTAAGTTGAAGCTCACTTTGTTCTGAGTTGTCCCTTGGAGATGTGAGTGCTTTAAGGGGAAGTATCCCCCGTTCCTTGAAGTCCCTGGCCCTAGGCATCCTCAGAGTCCACTGGGCAGCCTTAACCCCCTCTCAGACCTATGACATCATCTCGCTACTCTGGGACTCCATTTAGGTGTCCATGGGTTTGCTTGGCTTCCAGTGAGGGGCTAGGCCTGGTAGCTGCTGTGGGCTTTTTAGCCTGGTCTGGGCGAGAGCGCCCTGTTTTCCCTGAACTCCTTGACCACCCCTGAGAGAGAGTTCCAGAAAGGGTATTGGGCAGGTGGACGCAGGTGTGAATTATTTGGAGACTTTTGGAGCAGGCTATTTTCCAGGGTGTCTCGGACATGAAGACCTGCCTGGATTCACACATTTAATTTACAATTTACATACCTGCTGTGTCCCCTGATAACCGAGAAGGACAGTCTGGAAGCTGTGTGTGCCCTCAGAGACCTATTGTGGCCCAGTGGACGCTGTTATTTATTGCATCACCCAGTTGGTACTGGGTTGCTTCAGTTAAGTCTCCATCTCTGTAAAAATAGTTGCAAAGTTAATTTTGTCCCTCTGATGTGGGCACGTTCTGAATTCCAGCCTGGTTATTTATGTGCATGTACATATAAAATAGGGCTTAAATAAATAAAATAGTGTGTGTGTGTGTCAGGGGTGGGGGACAAGGACAGCCCAGCTGTCCCTCGTGGTGGAGGTTCTCTACTATCTGTGGGCTTCGACTTACCTTTATAGTGCTGCCTTAGAAACCTCTAGGCAGGTTGGAGAGTGTGCATTTTTCATGTTACATTAAGCATCATCTTTTTAGCATAGATTCCACTTTGACCCCAGTGTCACCAGAAACAGGGCTCGTTGTTTTTCTTAATACTGACCAGGTGCCCCTGGGCTTCTAGCCAGTAGAGAAAGCTGCGTTGCTCAGTTTGAGGTTCACAGCCAGACTAGAGACCCCACCCTTCCTTCCCATATCCTACACCTTTATCTTCTTTTGGGAAGTTGATAGAATAAGAGAGATTATAAAAGCAGTACTTTGGATTTGTGCCTCCCTCTGATAGTCTGTGAAAGAAACCTGGGTCAAAGAGGAGCCCTTGTCTGAGTCCTGGGTCTCTGTAGAGCAATTTGAAGGCCTTTGTTATTCAGGAAACTTCTCAGACACCTTCATACGTATTTTTTTTTCTTCCTTTGTTTTTATTGCTTGTGTTAGGGAAGTGAAGCATTGATTCTGGCTGTTATTGTTTTTCAATGTATCCTGTGAGAGAGCCTCAGTCCTAGTCACATCATCTGAGGGCCAGTTTTCTTGCATTTGGGTGAACTTGGTGGGTTTAAGTTCGTGAGTCCTGAGACATTTCTAATGGTGGCCATGCTGGATGGGTAGTCAGTCTTCTCACTTCTTCCAGGGCTGTCCTGTGCTTAGACCCCCTGACATTCTCTTCCTATCAGTGAAAGGGCTTGATTTTCTCATGTTTACTCCCAGGACTTGAGTATTGACCTTCTTTCCTGGAAAGATCTGTTTAATGGTGTGAGGGGTGGGTTTTATTTTTTTTAACTAGCTGAGTATCTATCTGTGCACAGCCCAGCATGGCTCAACTAGGGGAAGATGAGGCCACTGCCTATACCAAGTACAAATAAACATACCTTGTTGCTTTTCATCTTCAAAGAGATGTGACTGAGGCTCCCTACTGGGGTGTGAGGTGTTTTTTCCTGACAGCCCACTTAGGCCTGGAATAAGCGGGCAGGAACACAGATGTGAGCAGCAGAAGGTTGGGAGGGTAGATTCTGGGCCTTGTGGACTGATTTAGACACCTTTTGGCCAAAGTCTCCAGGGTAGGTTGAAAGTGGGCTTGTATTGTCACCCCTTTAAAACAGTTTCGAGAATGTGGAGTTCAGAAATGCTTGTATAATAAAATAATCTTATATTAAAGACTTGGCCTTAACAACCTTGCCTGTTTGCACGGGCAGGGGAGGAAGAAGAACCCAGTATTTGTGGAGCATCTCCTGTGTGTGTGAGATGCTTTGCTCCCCACTTTAAACACACGATCTCTTGGAAATTTTCCAACATTATCATGTGGCAGGAAATTGTTTTATGGTTCAGGAGAGATCAATAATACCCCAGGTACCACAGCCAGGGCCAAAGCCCGGATTCTAACTTAAGTTTCTCCTCGCCCCCGGCCTGGGCTTTTCCTACTCTTGCCAAGGCTTCCTGTGTAGTAACTCCATGCCTTTCCTCCAAGAGCTTTTGTGAATCAACACAGTGAGATTGTTTACACGAACGCTCCACCTCCCCAGTCTGCTCCCCGCGTGGTCACTGCTCTGAATTTATCCAGCAGACGTTCTCTGGAGGACACGTTGGTGTTCATGGTAAATGTATAAAATAAATCCCAGTCCTTGAGTAAAGATGACACTTTTTCAAAATAAGCCCGGTCCTTTTGCTGCGTGCACCGGTGAGTGGGAAGCCCAGCAGGTGGGAAGATGCTACCAGCTGAGGTTCAATTTCTTGACCTGAAGTGTAGTTACGGGGCCACTTGTTTTCATTCTTTGAGTTCTAAATTTATATTTCCCCCTTTTAAAAAGGTTTATTGTATTTTATAATTAAAAAATAAAGGATACATACAATGCAAATGCAATCCTTGAAAAAAAAAAGACAAAAGAGAATAAAATGAAAAAAGAAAAAACAATTAAAAAAAAATAAAGGATACTGTATACCATGTATGCACCTTGGAGTGAGGGAACTGTTTTTAGCTATGGGATTGCCCCAGGGACAGATCTATTTTTGGTTGTTGAGGGTTTTTTGTTTTGTTTTGTTTCTTTCTCTCTCTCTCTGGAATATTTTGGAAATGCTTGAGCCATTCTAACTATGCAGTTGTTTCAGGAAGATTTTTAAGACGGCCCCCTCCTGTGTGTGCTTGTGCGCATGTGTGCATAACTACCTTTCTTCTATTGTAATTGTTGTACAAGAATCCACTCACTTGGATGCTGAGGAGTATCCTTAAAAATGTTTGCTGGGAGAGCAGCCAGATACTTTGAAGATGCAACATTTGCTTGTCATGTTACTTGCTTGCTGTTTAATATTGCTTACCGTAATAAGTGGACTTTTGCAGCAGGGTCAGAGGGATAGCAAATGTTTATTTGAGGTAGGATTGTTAGGGCTTCTGGAGATGCTTTTAAGGATGGGGTTAGTCTAGGGCAGGATTTCTCAGCCTTGGTACCGTGGACATTTTCGACTTTGTTGTGGGTGCTGTCCTGTGCCCTGTAGGGTATTCAGCAGCATGACTGGTTCTAGATGCCAGTACCAGCCTCCTCCCTACCCCCAGTTGTTACAACCAGAAATGTCTCCAGCTAGTGCCACAGCACCCCTGATTGAGAACCCCTGGTCTAGTGTGAGCATGCATCCTTGCCCTTCATCTTGAGTATCACCACTGGCCACCTTACAAATGTCTTCTGGATGCAGGGGGTCGAGGTGGCTTCCTACCCCCAAGGGGCCATCGGGCTCCTGCTTTATGTTTCTGCAGCCAGGCAGGTTCTGTGTGAATACACATTCTTACCTAGAAACACCCTCAGCACTGACCCTTTCCCTCGTGCTTCCCCTTTTTGCCATAGTGAAAACTTCTGGAATTTTCGATTATAGATTTGGTCCCCTTAGGAGAAACATCTGCTGAGACAGCAGGTCACAGCCAGGTGACAGCTGACCCCAAAAGCCACCTGGTTCCCTGAATGTTATATTTGAGAGGTTCATCAGCCCTGAGGGCTAAAGGAGAACAAGTTGCCTGAAAATCTGCCCTGGAAGTCTCATGTTGAAATCCTAACCCTGGAAGTTCCTCTTTCTCCACTGTACAGAGTAGTTATTGTTCTTCGTGTCTCCCTTCTCCCTCCCCATAATTCCTTCTCCCTTGCCATCAAAAGGCTTTACAACTTGAGTCGGTTCTGCAGGTGGTGGGGAAGATCATCTCTGCTAGCAGCAAGCTGCTTTTTATAAGTTTTCATGTTATACTTTCTTCTCTGAAGTCTCTTTAAAATTATGTTCTATGTCGCTTTATAATACTTTAGTTCCTTTAAGACACTTTTTCTTCCAGCTGTCATTTTTCTTTGTTCCTTTCCTAGCCTTCCTTGAGATTTTTATTTCTTCCTCTTTTCAGACTAGTCACATAAGTTGTCTGCTTGGTGTTTTCTTTTGGGCATGGACTTGCAGGAGGAAAGGTGGTACCCAAAGAGAGAGGATGAGTTTCCTGGGAAGAAGTGCACATAGTCTCAGTTCAGACGTTTGTCTCCGATCATGTCCTCTTGGAAACTCCTCTAGTGAGGAGGTCTGGCTTCCCAAGCATGTGGATATAATTTTCGTTTTTGTCTTTGGGTAACTAGAAAGTCCTTCTTAACGTGTTACTTGGGCCGTTCATTACCGTGGTATCAACTCTGCCATATCAGGCACTGTGTGTTACAGGGGTGCAAAGCTGTGTAAAACTTGTTCTTTGAGGTTGATGGACGAAACGATCCACTGATGGAAATGAGATCGTTTACCTTCTGTGATTATCTGGGAAGGGTCAAGGTTCTTTCCCACCAGTGGCATCTCAGGGGGGCATTTTCTAAATGTGAGCTGTCCTGCTGGATCTTGGACCTTGATGGGAACAGACCTGCGTAGATGTCACAGTGCCCTGGCAAACGTGGGTGTCCTGTCTTTGGTGATATTGAATCAGTGTGTCACTCTTGAACATGTTTCAGAGGTGGTGACGTGTCCTAGCTTGCTTCTTTCACTTTCCACATAAAATGTTGGCATGTGTGCATTGGCACTCTGAGACCTAGCTCTATGCTTCTGAAATTTGAGCAAGAAATTCCTTCTATGGCTTTTGGACAACAGCATTTTTTATATTATGGTCATACACAGTGTGTGTATATGTGTGTGTGTGTGTAATATATATATATATATATATATTACACATACACACACACCCTAGTGATATATATATGCTGTATATATAAAACATCTCTTAGCCCTTAATCCTACTAGATTGAAAACTCCTTGAGGGCTGGGATCATATGTTAAATGTACATGTCATATTTTTTTTTTATTTCTTTTATGGTGTTTAGGAGAGTCATGGAAGGTTTATGCTGTCTGGCAGTGTGTTGAGCATTGCACATGTGTTATTTTGTTGTAATCTTCTTGAATTAAAGACACTACAAAGATAATACACCTAGTACATGTTCATGATACAAAATCAAAACAAAACAGAAGTAATGGCCATAATACATTAGTATCTTCCTTCATCTTCCTTTCACATTTCTCTCCCCTCTCCTAAGTAACTACTAACTATCTGGCATATATCAATTTAACCTTAACATGAATTTATATGTATATATACATGCACACACTCACGTAATTTAATGAGCTCATACTTGTCTCTGTAGTTTTCTGACTTGATTTTTTTACTTACGCACATTTCATCAATTCTGCTTTGAGCCTCACGAATAGGTCACACCTGTCTCCTGTTGTTCAGACATGTTGGCTATTCCAAAGCATTTGGCCATTTCTCTTACCCCCGCTTGTGTTGCTCAGCTCGTGAACGGGCACTCCTTTTGCCTCTCTCAGAAGCACAGTGTGTAACTTCAGCTATTTGTGAGTCTCTTTTAAGTCTCTTAAAGGGCCTGGCTCTTGCTTTGCAAGCAAATATGGAATTGTAGTAATTTCCTCCAGTGCTAGATATTTACTTCATTGTTATCAAACTTATACTGTTTCCCTGCCTTTTTTGCATACACTCTAATTTTCCATTTCAGTGCCAAATTTTAGCATCATGCTTTAAAAGACAGCCTAAATAGCAGGTAAATTCAACCTGTGCCATACCAACAAGGCACAGATGGACAGCTGTGAGCAGGTTTACCCAGACACTGCCAGTGACAAATAAATCACAGCTTCCGCCTGCCCTGTGCTGTCAGGAGGCTGGCCATCCGGCACATCCTGGTGCTGGAGATGTTACAATGTCAAAGAGACGTGTCTTCTTGGCCATCTTTTTTTCTGCTCTTACATTAATACACCTGTCCATTCTTTTAAAAACAGCTTTCCGGTGTGTGCATATACTATAATTTATTTAATGCTTCTTCTACCGGTGGAACTTAATCCATTTTCACAGCAGTTTATTCAGGGAGATAATATGTTTTACCATTTTATAAGATGAGAAAACGAACAGGTTAAGTCATTTTTCCCAAGCCTTCATCCAGTGAGAGGTTGCACGTTGGTCTGGGCAGCGTAAACCTGTGGCCTTAACCGCTGGCTCTACTGCTTTGGCATAGAGTAGGCATCCAAGTCCTTTTTGTTGGAAGAAGGAAGTGCACCGTCTGGCTTGTGCTCTAGAAGGTTCTATCACTGATAGTGATGTCAGTATTGACTCCATGTTATGTGTTGGGTGGTAAGATCTGTTAGAGAGCCACTGGAGTGGGTGGCATCTCAAGGTGATTTTATTCAAATGGCCTATCTTTGACAAATTGAAACTGATGTTCTACCATTCCCTTGTATGGAGAACTTACCATTATAGGTGTTGGCAGTTGGCCTTCACAGAGGTTTGACTTATTAAAAGAAACAAAAACAATAAACAAATTATTTTCAGCATCAGGAGGCTTGCCTTTGAATACATTAATAATGGAGAAAACTTTTCCCCCTTTGATGGGAATATTTTGTGGAGATACCAACTGAAAGCAAATTCTTTTCACTCAGTACTTTCCTCAAATAGTGCTGGGTGCCTCATAGAAGGGCCCACTGTTTAAAAAGTCTAGAAATAGATTTTTTAGACAAAAATATAGTGCTGATGATAATCCTTCATCTGAAAAGAGAAATTCAAGTTTTTTTTTTTTTTTTTTTCTGACCCTGAGCTTAAGCTGGGATGGTTCCTGTATGGGAGAATGAGGAATCGATGTTATTCGTTTGGAAGGTGAAATTTTAACGTGTTGTTCCAGGAAGCAGCTAGAAGTAGTTGGCCCCATGCTGTTACCTGAAGCCAAGGAGCTCTTGTGGGCCAGGGTGGCTTGTGAGAAAGCAATGCTGCAGGTCTGTGGAGCGTTAATAACTCTAGGCAGGCCAGGATGAACCTCAGGATTTTATGCTCACTCCTGAGTTCTCTCCAGAGAGCAGAGAACCAGACTCTCCTTTTCATGACTCATTGTGATCTCAAGAGACCGGTGATAAATTGGGTGAATTCACTGGTGCCCAAGTTCAACTGCGATTTTTGACAAATGGCGCAGTGTGCAGACGAGGCTGTCTCTGTCTTGGAGAGCGGCCACAAAGAGGGAGGGCAGCCCTTGAGCCTGCCCAGGGACAGGCCTTCAGCATCCGGGTGCTGGAGGGATGTGGAATCTATGAATAGCTTGATTTAGAAGACTTTGCAAACCCAAGGTGCCAGTGTTCCAGGTGGCAATGGACACTTGTGTGTTTGTTGGCATAGAGAAATGAAAGCATAAAGGG